CGCCGTGAGGCGGCAGCGGCGCCGCCCCGGAGCGGCCCGGAGCGCCCCGCGCCCCCGGTTCGTCCCGCTCCCGGGTCAGGAGCGCTGCGCCCCGGCCCAGATACCTCCCTCCTCCCCGCCCCTATCGGGTTGCGCGTCTCGCATGCTCCGAATAGCTCCGAGGAAGGCGGCGGCCTTCTGCGCTGGCGGGCGGCTGCGCAAGGTGCAGAGGGCAAAAATTAATGTTTAAAGGGAGAATTTCCCCTGTCTTTGTGAGGCGTAGGAACAGCTCTCCACAATAAGTTTTATATTTTTATTACGTGATTCTTGCTGAAATGCATTCAAGGGTACAGGCTGTGTATCCATTTTAGATACGGGACATCAAGACATTAAGGGGACAAAAACGGATCTTTCACACAATACGTGCCACATAAAACAAGCATGGGGTGTTATCACAACCCTGCATAAAAATGCAATATGTAAATAAAGGGAAGGAGGGCAAGCCGGTGCTAAAGTGTCACCTTGGACAGCTTCAGCACACTGCTACCTCAAAGGGTCACCTTGGGAAAGGCCAATTCCTCTGCAGTTGGTTTTCTGCCAGCTCGGTGCAGTGCAAAAGGGCTCTGCAAGTTCCTACGGAGGCTCTGAACAAGGGGTGTTAATTGTGTTAATTGACATAAGAGCCGGTGCACAGGCACACGTGCACAGGGAGGCTGCCACGGCATTATATAACCAGATAGGTATGTAAATAACAAAACAAGAAGCAGGGATAAAGCAGAGGCTGGCCTGAAACCTGACTTCAGTGAAAGCCGGAGCTGGGTGGCACATTCATATCGAAGAGGAAGGACAAATGCAGCTACTGACATGCTGACATCTCAGCAGAGGAAATATTCATGACCTTTAAATATGCAGAGGCTTATATTAAAACATTCAGAACCAAAGCTGTCTCCAAAAATGGATCTATTTGCTCTTCGGAACATAGGGAAAGCAAACACAGGCACCTCGGAGAGGGCCCGGGACGCACTTTGGCGGAGTCGGAAGCTGCAGCTCCCCTTGGCACAGGCTGCAGACCAGGCTGTGCTGGGCTGCAGCCGGCCAGGGCGCTCGCCATCCCGCTGCCGCACCCCGCCGGAATTTCTACCAGGAAAGGGAAGCGCAGACAAGCACATCACTCATTCTTTACTTTTCCTTCTTCCTCCTTGCTCACATCGCTCCTAGGTTAAGCCCAACCTGACTCAAAACCTTTTTCCTTGATGCAGCAAAATTCAACATTGCCCATGGTGCTGGGGTGCCCCGCGGCAGCTCTGGGTAGCAGCACAAGGTGTTTTGTCCCACGCTGTTTTGGTACGAGTTGCTGTTCAGTCTATAATCCCTCACTTCAATGAAGTGTGAGCTCTTCTTGCCCCCTCGTGTGTGTCTGAGAGGACGGGATGCTCCTCATAGCTCTTTGCCAGTCAGCCATGGCTCACAGATTGGGAAATTCAGTGCAAGAGCGAGGCTGTCAACCCCACTTGGCAGAGCACGACTGCTCCGGGAGGGTTTCTGGGCCAGGACACGCTATCAGTTCATCATTAGCACTTCATAATCCCTCCATGCCAGCTCACCCACTCAGGCTTACCCAGACAGCTGAGGAAGAAGTAATTTATGTGATAATTAACCTTTGGTGAACTCCTTCACTCCTGCGTGATGACCCCTTCTACTCAGGTGAAGAACGACTTGTGTTTTTCATTCAGAAAATCACTGAGCTACCATAGGGGTGGAAAAAAAGAGAGCATTTTAAGTGAAATGGGGTTTGTTCTCACTGTATAGTATCACTACTGATAGATCTCCTTGTAAATCCCTTCCAGTATGTGAGAAACGTACCCTGCTGTCTCCGTATTATTCTCATACCCAGACTGGCTATATCCTGCCAAGTGATATTTGTTTAAAATTCTCCACCGCACAAATTTGGCACAAAAACTGGGGCAAAGGGCATCCCCCTGGTGACTGCCGCCGTGTTGAATCTTCCCAACTCAAAGTCCAAGATCCACTTACACCGTTTAAGCTGCACAACAAGGCGAACGCTTCCCGCCGGGCTGGCTTGCACAGACGGGTAACGCAGCGGCGAGCGCAGGGCACGAGTGCTGCACGGTGCGAGTGGAAGCCCTTCAGCTCCTGTTAGCACGGATGCCCTCCAAATCCTCCTCAATCCTCCTTTCCTGCTACCTCAGCCCTAGCGTTAGAGCACAATAAATATTACCTGTAATGCCATCTGCTGTACGGACACAGCCCGGAGTTCCCAAGCTTCTCATCATTTATTTAAGGGTTGATGTTGTGCTGGACCAAAATGCAGTTTATTTCGGCCTTATTTGACTTTGTTTTGTTTCCAACTGAAAATGCCTGTCCACTTGACTTTTTAAAGTCATCCATCAGGGAGCAGAAGGACTGTTTTGTTTGAAAAGCCAAAGAAGCTAAACACTTCCAAAAACTTTTCAGAGAAGCTAAAGTAGTAAGAATAATCTTACTGAGTTGCTAAAATAAGCTTGGATGAGAGAAACTAAAATGTAAATAGTGCTTTTTGCTGTATCTTCAGTGTTTTATAAATGTCACCGGCTGCAAATGCCACACTATTATGCTTAAATGCACATCAAAATCTTCTTGCTTAAAATATAAATAATTATAGAATAAATCATTTAGCATGTTTTTAATATACAGCAATGTACTGAGTTTTAAATTGCTTGAATTTTCACTTTATAGAACCTCTTATATGAGGATCAGTGCCCTTTTTTGGTGGTGGGATTTTTCAAATCTTTTCTCTTATGCTTTTTTTTTTTTCCTACAAAAACTTCAAAACTATAAATTGGGCACCGTTCTCCCTCCAGGCGCACAGATTGACTTCTAAGTCTAAAATTTTGCAGGACTCAGAGGTAGGAAAAACATCTTCACTCTTGTTAACTATCCACATGTGTAAGTGGGAACTGATCAATGAAGGAAGCTCAAGGAACTCCAGGTCAGCATCAGCCAAGGAGACGCTCGATCTCAAACACGGCAGGGGAGGACAGAGCGGCCCCGATGACTTCCCAAGGGGGAAGATGACTCCAGGCTTTGGCCAGGTGACACGGAGCCATTTCAAAACCACCCTAAGTACCTGGCAGCTGCTACCAGCTGCGCTGTGTGACACTGAGTGACCTTGGTGCCCCACTGCGGCAGACTGCAGCCCGTCCCCTGCACTCAGCAGCACTTTTGCCAATACTTGGCGCTCGTGCTGCACCAGCGGAGCTGCAGAAACCTGAGCGGGCTAAAGGGATTCATTAACTCACCTTGTCTCCTTCTGAGATACACACTCAGGAGAGAAGGCAGAAGAGGCAAAGATGCTGCACGTGCTGTGGAATTATCACACATTTCAATAGAAGAACCTGGAATGTACTAGATTTGCACGGCAGGGTGAGCTACCCTGTTCAGATGTTGTGGCTGGCACTGTGAGCGGTTGGAGCTGTCAAAGGCAAAACAGAACATGCCCTCTTGCGGCCATGAAGCTTTCGCTGGCTTCTCTTAGACTTGACAGGGATGGCCCTAAAAAGTAAAATAAGACACCCTGGGTGATGATGTCTGCTCTGACGCAGGAGCAGACGCTGCAAGGCAACTTTTGGTTAGATAACGCAAAAAGAAAACTGAAAAGCACGTTGTCTCCCAGTCATACCCAACCCTGGATGTTAAAATTTGTGGCATAACTCTAAGGAACCTTGGCTCTGTAGCTCAACTTTCCCAACTATCAAATTGCTACAAAACACTTAAATACCCAGCATTTGCACAAATACATAACCGCAGGGCTCCATAGCTCTCAAGGGGGACCCTCTCCTCGTTTTTACTGTTTTTGCTGTTGTTTTTGCGTACTTTTCCCCCGCCTCCCCTCACGGCCGCGGCCCGCGCGGCCTCTCTCCCATGATGCCCCGCGGCGGCCCTTCTCCCCCCCCCCGCCCCCCCGCAGGCCCCTCTCCCATGAGGCCCCGGGGCAGGGGCGGCCTTTCCCGCCGCGCCCCGCGCGCCGCGGCCCCGCCGGAGCCCCCCGCTGCCGCCCGACCGCCGCCGAGGCCAGCCCCGCTGACAGACGGTGGGTGCCTGCAACCCAAACCCCAGAGGTGCTGATAGCACCTGGTCACCGTCCCACCATCACCAGCGTCCCCATCTCAGCTTTGCGGGTGGCTCTTGTTTCCCAGCCCGGTCGCCCCTCGCCTCTATTTCGCCAGGACAGCTCTGGTTTGGCAGTTGACCCAGTACTGGCTTCCGTAGGAAAGGGGCTCCCCCCTGCAGCCTCGCAGTCCCGCGCTCCCTGTTTAAAGTTGCCGTGTTTACAAGGGGAGCAGAAAACTTGAATGCAAAATTCGCCCCACAGAACAGTCAAAACTTCAGAAATTCCAGGAACTGCCTGGATACGGTTCTGGTGGGCAGAGACCATTCAGCAGCTGCAGGGAGTTGTGCAACACTTGAGAGGAAAGAGATGCAGTTACAAGATTAAATATTCATGTCCAGCCTATGGAGTGCTGGTCTTCTGTGTTTGCTACAAAAGCAGCTTTAAAGAAATAGCTCTGGTTATGTTGCAACATTGGGGAATGCATTAATACATCCCGGACATATTTGATGCTTATAAACTTCATTGCTGTATCAAAACTCTCCCCCAGCCCCAGCTGAAACAAACAGTATTGCTATATTAATTATGTCTTTCTCAACAGTAATGAACAACAATTTAAAACCTTCAACATTCCCCTCAGCTGACTGCTTTTTGATTTCACAGGGGACACAGGATCCCATTTATAGTGCACCTTGGAAGAGACAACTTTCAGAAACACCTTGTTTAAAAAAACATCAATTTGGACATAGGCTTTTGACCACGGTCAAACTAAGGCAAGGTGAAAATGAGAGGTGTTCATGTTCCTGACTCTAATTGGAATGTGAATCTTCCCTGCAGTTGCCAAGCTGTGTGTTTGCGATCTGCTGGTGGCGCAGTGTGATGTGAACTGCTGCTGCGACCCTGACTGCAGTGCCGCGGAGTTCAGCCTCTTTACCACATGTTCAGTTCCTGTTGTCACGTAAGTGAATAAACAGCTTTCTGAAATACAAAATCCCACCCTTTCTTGCCGCATGCATTTAGAAGGGCTCTGTCCTCTCCTCTTGAAAATTCCTAACCCATCCCTGCTGACTATACTTCTCTCTCCTACACTTGTCTCTCATGCACTAAGCAGGGAGTCCTTTGCCCTCTGCAGGTAGCAGGGCAAATTGGCATCACATCCCGCTTTCCCATTCCCTCTTTCCCAAATCTGTGCTCCTTGCTTTTCCCCGTTCCACCATCCAACTGTATGTGGGCACTTAACTGATGATGCCTTCTCTGGAGAGAAGAATAATGTATCTTTAGACCTTTGCCAATATAATACAGTGTCTGGAGGCTAAGAAAGTACCATGGGACAATGTGACCACCCTAAGCAATTTATCAGTAACCTTTCACTGGTGTTCATTATTTCAGAGAGAAACATGATCAATCCAAGCCTGTAATGAAACACTGTGAGAGTCACTCTGATCTTAGTTTTATGAGCAAGTGTCCAACTTATCTCACTGCTGTTGTCACTTTACAGAGAGTAAAATGTAACCTAATAATCAAATCGTGCTGATAGTTACTTCTTTGCTATTTACAGTCTACCTGAAAACACTTTCACCCAGATTTCATCTTCTCACATAGAAGTTAAAGCTCATTTCAGAACCTTATTGTAAAAATCTCTTGGTGACTTCTCAGAACAATAAATAGAGCTCATCAACCTACCTTCTGCCTAAATTATACCAATCTTAAAGCTGGGTTTTATTCTCAATGCTTTGAAATTGGAATTAGCAGTGATCCTTGAGTGCCATTTCTTATTGTTCTTGCACACAATGACTATTGCTACCCATTTATAGCTATTTATATAAATCGAAAGGTCTAATCAGCACCTTCCTGAATGACAGTTTAATTGTCCCAGGTGACTATTCTGTCACTGCCAACTAGACATGCATAAGTCATCTGAATCCACTCAACTTGTCATCTTATAACTGTCAGGTTCTTCCCTTCACCACTGGCTGTCTCTTATCTCTGCACACTATTTCCCCTGCTAGATAAAGTAAAAGGAATCTTAGAGTTTTTTATTGCTTGTGACTAAGCATATGTTATAAAATGATACCAGCCTTAGAAGGCAGCCGAATTGCTATACTTATCTTAAAAAGAGAGTAACCCCATTAGAGCTTTTCTGGTTTATTATCATATTATCTGCTTTATCTCATTACATGAATATAATTTTAAAATGATTTGATTAATACTAACTTCTAGTGGATGGTTGATTTTGCTGCTACTATTCACAGAGGTGACAGTCGTCTTTGCAGTCAGAAAGCTGCAATATATTCACTTGATGTCGAAGCAAACCCACCAGAAAGGATATTTAAATTAATTGACCACATCAATCCCAATGTTTTCTGCATTCATACTGCAAACTGTAAGTAGTTTTTCTCAATACTAAGCATTTCACTAGTATTTTTGTAAGCTCTCTAGGTACCAGAAAGATGAAAATTAAAGGTAACCAAACCTGATTATTCTAATGCTCACAGGCTGTATGTTGTAGTCCTTTCGCTTGTGAAATTATGGAGTTGAAACATCTCAGATATTCCTCTTAGTCTTCTCTGTGGAAAGAATGTTATTGGCTTTGACTAGGCTTAATTACAAATTTTAATAAAGTTTTCCTGTGCATTGGCAACTACAGAGTTAAAAAAAAATGACATTTTTTCTCAGAAAAGGATAAAAAAGATCTTTTTTGGTTAAGTATTTTTTAGAAGTGGAGAAGTGATTAGTACTCTCTTCAAAATTAATTATGCAGTATTTATCTGAATGCTTAGCATGGAAATTTTACTAGTTGACTAGTTTTGGAACATATGATGCTATTAGAAACCATGATTTTTAAGAGAAAGAAGCTTACCTCTTTCCTTAGGTTTAAGTATATGCTTTCATGACCAAGGATGGATAATAAATTATCACATAAATTATGATACCCATCCTCCTCTGTCATTTTCTGGTCATTGATTTATTTAATTTCCCACCTCTCCCTCCAAAATATTTCTAAATGCTGTTTCTATATCTTGTATCCTAAGTGTTATCTCATTCTTTGCAATGTTTTGACAGATAAACAAGCCCTCTCCTTCGCTTCTCCCGAAACACCTACTTCTGAAAATTTTGATCAATTGCTTAAACAGTTTGGAAGTGCCACTTTCAGCACTGAGTTTGATAGCTGGAATGTAAACCCAGATTCTCAAATTTCTTCTGATGCAAATGGAACATATAGATACGAGGTAAATAATGGTCTTTTTCCATCAGTGTTATGTTTGCCCATATCAGACCAAGCAAGTGGGTTTTTTTTGTTTTTTTTTTTGCATCTGCTTTTAAGAAGCTGTATTATCTCAAACAGACAAACTTTATTTTGGTCTTGAAATAGAAATACAAGAGTAAAATGCAATGGTTTGTGTGGGCCTACTTCCAAAGTGAACTATGTTAATATCTGTGAAAAATAAGTGGCTGTTTTGTTACTGTAAACATGAAGAGAGCTGTTAGATGTGGCCTAAGAATTGACGAGCAGGGAGGTACACAATATTGAGGGATGCAGTGTAAGTAAAGGCTTCCGTTGTCCAGATTTGTTGTTAATGCAAATGCCCTAAAGCTTTCCGTGAACTGAACTGTTCCTATGTGCTTGAATATGTCCTTTTATTCTGCAGTATGGTGTCCCTATACAGACAGTGGATGCATTTGTGAGACTGCCTAGTCCCGTTGTCTCTTCCTGGTGCTCTGATGCTAATCCTGCAGGTTGGAAAACTTAAATTCTAATTTATTTAGAGGATTCTCCTGTTATTCCTGGGTCAGTAAAATAGTGTGCACACCAACTGAATTCAGCTAAAGCTTTATGAACAAATGTTTTTCCAATAGCTTGTGTTTCTGTGGGTCTTTTTAGATACACAGTAGAAGTTGTGTGCATCTAGCTCAAATATGCAGTTTTAAAAAGGTAAATCCTAATGAGTATTGTTAATGGGCTATTTATTCTACTGAAACAGATCTACTTGCCTTAACTGCTTTAATAAAATAATACAAGGGTGACAGCATGAGGGAATACGTTATTACAAAGCAAAACCTAATTGGGCAGCCTTTGTAAGATGTCCCCTTCCTACAGTGAGGTTCCTTTCACAGCCCAGCTGCAGCTTAAGCCAGAGAGCCTACCCTGCATTTGGACTTTTCCTGCACTTTCCTAAAAATGCACAAAGAAAAAACTGCATCTTCCCAAACCTCTTATTAAATATGGTAGCATAAAGATCATGATGATGAGCATGGAAAAACTGAAATCTCTGTAAGAGAAAAATCTTACCAGAATTCTAATGCTAAATCTTCTTGGAACTTTTATTACACTTGCATTTTTGGAGAGTAATATTTTGTCTTGTTGCATTTTCGGAGAAACTAAGATGATGTCATGCTGTACACAAACCTTATCTGCAAAAGAAGTTACATTTACTTTCAGTTTTGCATTTGAGGTCCTTACGTCGTTTTGGTTTCTGTTTTTTGTAATTACTATTTCGTTTCCTTCACTTTTTCCCCCCCCCCTCCAGGTTTTTTAGTAAACCAGGCTACAAAATGCAGTAGATTAGTAAGTGTGGAGAAGTGTAGCACCATTCAAGCAGTTAGCATGCTGTTCTACATTAACTCCAGCATTTTAGCAGTAAGTATGATTTGAAACCATCATATAGCTAAGAGTTGGTACTGTTGATACGTGTATATATATACATACACAAACATATATATTACGATGTACAAAATGAAATAGCTTTTACTTTAGCTTTTAGTTCTTAAGGAAAACAGTGTTTGATTTGGATTCTAAGTTCAGGATTGGGGAAAAATCTTCCTATGCAAAAAGCTTTTATAAAGAAGGACTTTAAAAGTGTTTTTGCTTCCAGCTTAGATAAGAGAAGAATTTATTGCTGTCTGCTTAGCCAACAAAAATAGGGGTCTTGACGACACCTGCTCGTGTCGCTGAGCTGATCGACTTAGCGCAGCAGTTCTGTACACGTGCATGTTTAAGCTCTTCCACGAGGCCTATTACCAGCATGCGTAAGTCTAGGCTGTCTGGGTTTGAGGAGCTGATAAATCTTTGCACATAAGACGCTGTTGGGTTGAATCCTCTGCATACAAGCCTTAATTGTATGCATAGATTTTTAAGGGTGAGATACTTCACCCCAGGTGCTTCCTTCCTTACACTCCTCCCCAGTGATAGGACCTTTTGTCCTATTGAGAACTAACATACTAGCATCCAGCCTCCTACCAGATCTACCTTCTAGCTGATTTTCAAAGCTAAACTTATCTTTACATTTCTGAACTGGAGGATGCTTTCTGTATAAACAAGTCTATTTTACATACACTCAGGAAATCAAATAACTAACCCATGCAGAATTACAATGGAGGTACATAATACCTTAACTTGATGACTTCTTCCAGAAGGATGGGCATCAACAAGAAACAGCATCTTCTTCTCCCTTAAGATGCTTTTAATTTATACATTTATTAGAATTCAGTTAATTAGCACTCCATAAGAAATGTCTTCTTAAAGGACAGTTTCAGTCTTGTGGCTCACTTACCAAACTGTAAAGCTCTTAGTGGTAGCAGGGAGTCCACTAAGTAGTTCCCACTCTCACAGGTGGGATCACTCTCCTAATCTTTAAGGACATAATTGAAAACACCCCAGGCTTATGAGCTTTAGCTTTTGATTATTCTGCAGTGGAAGGTGGAAGAACTTCTGTATCAGAAATGCTTTGAGTGTTTCTCCATGTACATAAGGTTATAGTCCTTGGAGCCTGTAGAACTGCAGGAAAAGAAAAAAAAACATGCCCCAGGATAGGCTGGAAGTGGCTGGATGGTTCTGAGTTAAGAAGTGTATTCTTCTTCCTTGCTAGAACTCCACATAACAAGTTGTGTGTGGGGTTTTTGCCAGTTACCTGCCCCAGCTTAGGAGAAGGAAGGTTCCTGTTCCACGTGCAACAGAAGTTCAGGAGAGGTTGGGTGCAAGGACTGGAGAATGGCAAACGGCCACCAGAGCTGGTCTGTAGACATGACGTGACTGTGTAAAAGTGAATTTGGGGCCACTGCCTGTTGGGATGGGGTGGTCACAGTGGAGAGTAGGGAGCCCCTGTAGTGCCAGCAGGTGGAGCTGCCAGCAAAAGAAATGGCAAAATTCATGAGCCTTCTCAAGGAGAGGACGGGCACAGCAATTCCTTCAGAAAATCCTGTTGTTATCAGCCCAGAGTTACTGCCAGGTTGAGCAGCTTGCATGAGGTAAAGATCCTGATAACTGCAGTACATCTGTGCTAGCTACCGTGGCCTGTGCAGGGGAGTCAGAGGTGTTGAGGGTGTGTGGCAGCCTCCCCCGAGGCACCGCAGCGGGACGCTCCACGCGTGCCCGCGGGCAGGACAGGGTGCTGGACCCTGCCTGCCGGGCACATCCCTTCAGTGGGACGCAGCGGTGAGGCTGGGATCCCTCTGCCATTGGCCTGGCTTCCCGGTGACCTCCAGAGACAAACCCCACACCCTCGGCACGGGTAACAGACTGGGGAGGAGCTGTGAGCATTCCCATCTCAAAACGGCGTGTTCTCCTGAAGGACAAGGTCTGTGTAAGCACTTCTAGCCACACAGCTGGCTCTGACTGCTGAGCTGCACCTCAAGCTGTTAGGTCAGATGTTGATATAAATACAGGACAGTGTGTGCCAGGCTTTATCTGCAGCTTTGCTACTGTTTGATTTTTTTTTTTTTTTTTTTAGGTACCTAAATCAAGTCAGATGGTGAGTATCCTTCTGTTTTACTTGGATAGTAAAATTCTCACTCCTTTATAAGCAGTGGGAATATTTTGCTGACTTTACCACAACTGGGACTTTGTCCTTGCTCTTTAAATGAAAACATTAAACAGCAAACAGAGCACTCACATGTGCTAGAACCCAACAGCCACATACTTAGATACTTAGGAACTCTAGGATAATACGCTACCTGCTGAAATATGTCTGATGCATCACCTCCAGTTATAACTCTCTTTTAGCTGACATTTGTTACTTAAAATAGATCCTTCAGCAACACACGTAGTAATGCAGCTGTTAAAGGATTGTTGCTTGCTGCTTCTGTGGAAGAAAACCTTGAAGTAGCTCTTCCCTGTGTGTCTTAATACACATACCAAGGAATAAAGGAGGTGCTGGTAGCACCTAGCAAGTATAGGTGTGTCCAGGAAACAAACATGCTTACTTAAAAGAGAAAAAAAAACACAAAAAAACAGTTTTAAACTTATAAAATACTTTATAAAATACAGTATAAGCTATATAAAATACAATAGCTAGACTTGTTTCATAGATAAAAAAGTACTTGTCTATCCTTTAAAGTTCACAAACATAATACTACACAAAATGGCAAAAATAATTACACACGATAATCAGAAATGGCATGAATTTGTTTTTCAGGTTAATATTACTGTCCAGTCCATAGTTGTTCAGTCTCTGAATGGAATACGGACCTTACTCGACAGTAATGAGGTCCTGAGGCTCCCTGCAATTTTGGATGAGCTGTGCATAAACATAGTTCTTGGGGTAGGTATAACCATTCCTTTTGCTCCTCACGGTGGATGGAAGACACGTATACATCAAACCATTTCTGATTCACCATTTAGAGAGACTCAAGAAAGACTTTGCCCAGTTTCCATACATTGTGACATTACTAAAGTAAATGCAACAGGAGAAACTGCCTTTGGGGTGAAAGAGAGCATAGCCTTTTGCAACAAATATATGTAATATATATAGGGAGGAGATGAAATCAATTTCTGTTACTAATATGTGTATCTGACATCACAGTTTCCTCCTATTCTCTGGCCTCATCCTTGTCATACTGCAAATGAGAACATAGTACATCTATAGGGTAGCAGAGTGGATTTTAAGCAAGCAAGCACCTTGTATACTTTTTAATTCCTTTATGCTAGTTTCATAATTGCATGTATTTGTTTTAATATACAAAATGTTTTGTTTTCAGGTGAGTTATCATATTACATACACACAAGCAGGAGAAATAATAGAAGCAGCTGCTTCTTTTGTCTTGGGGGCAATTACCAAAGAAACACTTTCAATACAGCAGAGCTTTGAAATCAGCTTTACTCAGGTAACTGCTCCAGATGTTATGGACGACTTGTTGAAAGACATTTAATTACAGAACTTATTAAACTTGAATCAGAACAATTGTAGCAGCAAGGTAAAGTGTAATTTGCACTGGCTACACAAATGAGGCAGCATTTCAGGATTGTGCACTAAGGGCCTCCAAAGTGTTTTTCTCATTTAGAAGAGGCAGCTTGTGACCATGCACAATGTACGCAGCGAGAGCAAAGCCTGATCCCAAGGTTAGAGAACTGTTACAATCTTACAGAGAAGTCTTACTATTATTATTGTTCAAGGCTGTTAATAATCCTAAAATAGCTGAATTATTTTATGTTTTCCGATTGTTTCAGTGCAGGATGAAAACTAAGATGTAAACTTGTATTACAGGTAAATACAAAGCCGGTTCCTCTCAGCGGTAACCCTGGTTATGTCGTTGGACTGCCTGTAAGAGCAGGCTTCAGGCCACAGGGATATCCTTTACCTGTTTAAATTTGGTTTGCAGCAGGGTTGAAGCACCTTTTAAGCACAAAGCAAGTCCTTTGAAAAGAGACCATCATAGCAAAAAGTAGACCGAGGGATCTTGCACTGTTTGGCACATCTTCACAGTCCCTTTCTAGCGTGGCATCTATAGCATGTATCTGTTCTTTAGGCAAAGGGTGCTTTTGGGCTGCATTTCAGAAATAGCAAATCACAGAATCACAGAATTGTTAAGATTGGAAGGGAATGACTCAGTCTTGCCGTAATCTCATGGGACCTTTTAGAAGAGGTAGGTTTGGACCTTCATTGTACACTCCAGTAGTGCTCTACTTTCTAAGACAGCAATCTTGAGCTATTACAACGTTTTTCAGATCTATTTTAACTATATGACTAAGGATTCTTTCTTTATAGCATATATCAAGCATTGAAGTTGCCCTTAACTGTATATTACATCTGGCATCATTCAGAGCACTGACAAATATGGTCAACTTACCATTCTGCAAAGTACCTCCAACCAGGACTGTCTGGCAGCAGCAGGAGCCAGAACTCCTGTGTTATTTGGTTATAACATGATATCAGGCTGTAAATTAAGGTAAGAGGAAATC